AGAACGAACTGGGGTAGAGAAAATAGTGCAACAATGAATGAATGAAAACCCAAAATCTCTGGAAATGTAAATTAAAATTAATAAAATGTAATAATTTTTTTTAAAAAAAGAAATGTGAGAATGTTTTCAATCAGCAATCAAATTACTATGGACAATCTTTCATATATGATGACACATAGTGGTATGCAAAGATAATAGCAACAATTAACTCCAAAATAGTCAACATTATTACATAGGCAACTCATTTATAAAATGAACCACTACTTACCATTATTATCAAATCCATGTGTAAATTCATGTCCAACAATTACTCCTATTGCACCATAACTCAGAGATCTATAGGATAAATACCGAATTTTTAGAAGATTACAAGCATGAAACTTAGAACTTTATTTTTTAAATTTTTGTTAAATAAAACCACAAACAACCTACTTTCTAGAAACCTGAGTAAAAGCAATCTAAAAATTACACCTACAGAAATTAAAAAAAACAAAACCAAAACCCAAAACAAGCAAAAATACTAAACACAGTTCATTTCAACTATTGAAATGAACAAAGAAAGTAGAAATGCTACCATTGTCACTATGACTATACGTATTTGCTCCCAACAGAGGGAGTGGCAGGGAATGACTTCTGGGCCCTGGTACGAGGCTTTCATTTTCTACCCTTCTGGAAGTCAGATGTAGTATCAAATTTAACTATTAGTTAGAGGGAGACAGAGAAAGAGGCCAACGAAGAGATCAAGAACCCCAAACACTTGACTAAAGAAATTACTTGAGAGTATTTTGTTATGTAGCAGTAGATATAAAATTATCTACATTGGAGGAATTAAGTATGTATATTTGTATCTGCATTTTTGCCTGTTATTTTCTCTCCCAACTACAACTTAGTTCCACAAAAGCCAAACCCTTTAATAACTCATTCACTACTAAATTCTTTTCACACAATAAAAATGTAGCAAAGGTTTGGTTAACCAATTAACTTTGGCATTTCATATAAGGGGTAGATCTCTACATGAGCTATGTTAAATATTTAAGCTGTGCATGAGGATTACATAAGACTACTTAAAGTCCATACTATAAGGATTCTTCATGAGATTTGCAGGTAAACTAGAAATATTTTCCAGTTAATTCCGGACATGCTACATCAGAGTCACCCAGCAAATGGAGAGGGCACATAACTGGAAGAAATGGAAATTTTTGAAGCAACATGTTATTACAGGACATAATAATCCTTAACATGCTAATTGTTTGTCTCAACTATACCCAATGAAGTGATGTAAGATTTAATTTTTCCCCTTGGCGGCAATTCTTGCCATTGTAATTTCTTTCCTGCAAGGTAATTCCATCATGGCAAACCTTCATTAAAAGAGTAAGAGTAAAATCGTGCATTTCAATCATAGATCTATATAATCAACTTCTACTTTTACAGAGTGCTAACATCTAAACCAGAAGTTATCACTGGAGCATCATGTAACATTTTGTATTTCTAGGTCTCTCATATCTAAGAATACTATTGAGTCCTCAAAAAACCTTAGTCAATACTGTTGAATAGACGAATTTTAGGCACAATGAAAGCTTACAGAAACTTCTACAATAAATGTTTCTTAAGAACTACTTAAGAGCCTCCTTGCTGCAAAGAGATTTTTCAATTCTGAAAACAGTGTACGTGTGAATTCTCTGTTATAAAATCACAATCATGTAGAAAAGAGAAGAAAAAGTAATAGTATATGACTAAGCCTTGCTATGTGATCACTTTAATAGTAAAATCAAGGCCTAGATTTTTATCAGCAGACATATTTTAAAAAATCTGTTATTCAAAAATAAAATAATTAAACCAATTTGTGTGTTTAATGGAGGGACTGTGCAGGAGAAGAAGACCCTTGATGAGATGGATTGATTCAATTACTGGGGTAATGGGGATAGCTGTGTCTGACATAATAAGGTTGACATTGGATAGAGCAGGGTTTAGGGTCGCTATGAGTTGCAGGCAATTCAATGGCACATAACAACAACATGCTGAATACGTCAATATTTTCTATTACCTGTTAGTGTCTAAGCTCCTGGCCTATCACCCAGAATCCTCTAGTATCAAACTTCAACAAAATTTGCCTCAGTTTTCTCCCTCTGCTCCCCTTCAAACACCATTTGGGCCGTCCTCACTCTTTGCCATACTACAAGCACTTTGCCTTCCTTTTCTTGTTCTGCTTTCTCATTTGGAAGGGTTTCAGCTCACTTACATCAGTTCAGATTCCAGAAATTCTGTAGTGTGAGTCAATGCCTCAACATGAAAACTACTCCCTAACAAGCTGACGTTGCTTCCCATCCATATACTCTAGCCACAAGGATCAGAAAATGATCAAGTGGGAGAGTAGGGCCAACACATGTCAGATTCCATACCTTCCTTCTGCTGAGTCACGGTTGACTTTGCTTTTTTACTTTATACTGTATTTTTGCATAAAATACATTCAAATAAATAATGTATACACATAATGTGTACAGGAAATGAATGTGAAAGAGTTGTATCGTTCGATTAAAAAAAAGAACCACTATTTGCATAGAAATACGGTCATCTGTTCTCTGACAAAACAGTGTACTCTCCATCCGCCTTTCTCAGTAGCTGGCTTCCTTACTAGGTTCCATACCGAGGATATTCTGTTCCCCAAAAGAAAGGCTTCTGGAGCTCTCCTGCTGGAAATCCTGGAAGACAAGGCCAACAAGCATTTAACGTTAAGGCTACAGAGACTGAGTAACTGAAAATGACATGCTAGCAGCTAGAGCCCTCTAAGAGACCTGTCTCAGTGATGATACTCTGTTTACAATAGTGCAAAAAACGATCCTGATACCCTCAATGTAGAAAGAGCTAGCTTCTAGAGCCAGCTGTGCAAGCATATCAGAAGGCTCTTGCACCTGACTCATTGCTCTACTGTCACCCTCTTAAAATTCTTCGTCATTTTACTGTTTGAATCTGTATTTTCCCACATAATGCCTCAGAGAGCATCAGAGCATGTAGGGAAATGAAGGAGACAGTGGTAAAACGTGCAGTTACTCCTGAGATGGTCCATTGATATAGAGGGTCCAAAGTGCTCCAAGAGCCCAGAATTCTGGAAAACTCATAGCCAGAGGGTGAGTATTCATTGAGACTCCAAGGGAGGGCAAGGTAATCAAGGATGCCTGATGGCTAAATAAGCCAGATCTCAAACACTGAGGAGAGACCATGTTTTCAATTCAACCCAAAACTTGTCCTGATCATCAAAAGGAGACAATGGAGTTTGAAGAGACATGAACAATGACCAAAGAACCTCATCATATTTTCCTGACTCAAGTTGTTGTGGCTGTTAAGTGCAGTCGAACTGACTACGGGTCATCGTGACCCTATGAACAAGGAATCCTTGCAATATCCTGGGACAACCCCACCACCTCTGACACACTCAAGTCCACCATTCCAGTCACTGTGTCAATCAATCTCATTGAGGGTCTTCCTCTTTTTTGCTGACCCTTCACCTTTCCAAACATGATGTCCTTTTCCAAGAATGTGCCCCTCCTAACAACACGCCTTAAGTATATGAGCCCTGTGAGACCTCCACTTGCAGCCAAGGACCACTTCAGCTACATCTTTTCTGAGACAATTTTCTCCCATAGGTTGTCCACAGGACATTCGTCTGCAACACCAAGGCATTGAACCTTCAGTCATTCTTTTTTTTCCCTCGCTCTAAGTTTTAAAATTTTTTACTAGTTTATTTACAAAATTTAAATATACTGTTTTCAAGAACAGATTCTTTCCATTTCCCTCACACCTCCCAACATCAAAATATATAACCCCATAACTGTCTAACTTTCAGCTCCATACCAAGTAACTGAAAATACTATGACTTTGATCAGATGCACCTTAGTCTTCAAACTGACATCGCTGCTCTAGCACTTGACAGCAGACTTTTCCAACACTATGTCTTATGATTTCCTGGCTACTGGAGCCAGGGGTATTGATTTTGGATTCAATCAAGATTAAGATGATTGACAACTTCTTTCTTCTCCATCTACCATGATGTTGCCCATTGATTCATGTTACTTGCCTGTATTGTTGTTGCTGTTATATGATGTCAAGATGCCTACGACTCATAGCAACCTTATATACAACAGCTCTGGACCCCACCCTATCCTGATGCAACTTCACTGTCGCACTTCACTAATGACACATCTAGCCTCATGACCTCAGTTAACTGAAATAATCCATGTCATCCAGGGTCTTCCTCTGTCTTTCCACCCTTCCAAGCAAGAAGTCCTTTTCCAAGGTCCTGCCTGGCAACATGCCCAAAGTATATGAGACAGAGCTTCAAAATCTTTGCCTCCAAAGAGCAAGAGGGGGTGGGCAGGGAGAGAAGTGAAACAATGAATGACTAGAAATCCTAAATCTCTGTAAACTGTCATTAGTATAATAAACAAATTTAAAAAAAATAAAATCCTTCCTGAAAGAAGCAGTCTGATTTCACCATCACAAGGACAGATCTGTTTGTTATCTTGGGAGGAAGTAGTATGTTCAATATCGTTCCCCAGCAACACAACTCAAAGGCATTGATTCTTCTTCTATCATCCTTAGTCATTGTTGACTTCTCTGATACATAGCAAGCAATTGAAAAGATCACTACTTGGATCAGATGCACCTTAGTCTCTAGACTGACAATGTTGCTTTCCAGTACTCTGGAGAGGTCCTTGACAGTAGATTTTCACAGAGCAATTTGTTGTGGTTTTTTTTTTTTTAATTTCCTGATTGCTGGTGGCAAAAGTGTTGCTTGTGGAAACAAACAACCTGAAATTGTTAACAATTTCAATCTCTTCTCCTTCTATCATGATGCTGCCAATTGGCCCAGTGGTGAAAATCTTTGTCTTCTTGATGTCGAGTTTCAATCTATACTAAAGCCTATAGTCCTTGACCTTTAAATGCTCTTATATATGTATCTAAAAGTACCATTACAAAAAAAGAGAGACAGGGAAATTTCACGCTGTTAACAATTTTCATCTTTCTTGTAAAAAAGCTAAGTAAAGATCTACACACAACTAGAAACAATATTGGGATGTTAACAAGGATAAGAAGAGAAGGACTGAAGAGCAAAAAGAAATAAATTGTAATTAATATTGCAGATCAAAAAAGTAAAAAAAATAAAGATTTTATTTTCCTTATTGTTGTTAGTGTTCATCAAACTACCTCACTGACGGTGGCTCCTCATACATCAGAACAAAGTGTTGCCTTCTCATGCACTATCTGAACGACCACAGATACATTAACAGATATGCTCAAGTTCATTGTTATAGTGACTATGTATATTTAATGCCTGCCAAATTGGGAGGATCAGACAACATATTATTGTGATCCAGTGGGTTTCACCAGCTACTTTTCAGCAGAAGAACTCCAGGCTTTTTGCCCTAGTATTAGCCTGGAAGGTGCACTGAAACCTGTCCACAAAGAGGAACCCATTTGAGAGGCCAGTGGTATAGCTTCCAGCGTGACAGCACCACACACACCCCTAGACTGTAATAAACTGAGAGATGGGTGGTAGAGCACAGCATTAAAAGACATATCAAAAGCAGTGGAGAAGCTGAAGAGAGACCCATGAAAGAAGGGCCAAAGCTTTATATTTTAGGACATCTAAGAGCACTGTTTCCTGCTTTCTGTCAAGAAATGAAACTTACTGCTCTGATTCCTATGGACACTATTGGAATTGCCTCATCAGAAGTCTGATGCTTTCAATTTTAATGGGAGCAGAGTGCTCATTTTTCTCCTGTGGAGTGTGCAGCTGGCGGGTTCAAACCACATATATATTTTTTTTCGATCAGCAGCTCAACTCTTAACTATGACACCAGAGTGTCTTTCTTAACAAGGGGTCCTGGAAATTATGTAGCTGGCCCTCAACACAGATGAGTGGGGGAAATGTGTGCCTTGTCCTTGTAATACATTTTCACTCTGGGGTGATTCCAGAAGCTACAGTTACAAGCCCTCAGAGCTGGGAATGCAAAAGGCTGTATCAAGAGCGACAAATGAGAAACCCTCTGTAATGTTCCTGCGTTCCTAATTCAGAATCTCTGTTTTACCCTATGTAGTGAATGCAAACTGTTCAGCAGCGCTCCTTGTGAACAGCACCCAGGAAACACTCCATTATCTGCCATGCTGTAGATATGCCTCTGTTAGGGGGGGATAGACAGAATCCCAACGATTATAATTATTATATTATAACTATTATATTTATTATTATATTAGTCCTGACTATTATATTTAACAAAGTCAGATGTAATAAATAATTGGAAAAGAAATGCCGGCTTTTTAAGTTTGTTAGGGTTTTCTTACAATTTTTATTATTTTTTTCTGCGTGTACCGTCAAATCGAATCTGAATGGTACAGGAGAAGATTGCCCCTCCTTCTTCAGCAGAGGATCTGGTGGATTCTAACTGTGTACCTCTGGGATTGTAATGCAACTTCTTGCCACTAGGCCAACAGAGCTCTAGGTTTTTTTGTGTGTTTTATGCCTTTGTAATTAGAAGGACAACTATCTGGCCGGGTGACTAGAAGGAAACCATAGTTGTGCTGAATCCAAAAGAGAGTGGTGCAACAGAGTGTGTAAATTATCAAACAGTACTACTGATATACCCTGAATGCAGAATCCTGAAGATTATCTAAAAAAGGACTGTAACAGGATATTGACAAGGAAATGTCAGAAACACACAAAAGTTTCAAAGAGGCTGTGGCACCAGAGACATTATGACGAATAATGTGACCATATGGATCCTGGCTGAAAGCAAAGAATACCAGAGAAATGCTTGTCTATGTTCATGACTATGCAAAGGCACATGACTGTGTGGATCACAACATATCGGAGATAACCTTGAGAAGAATGGAAATCCCAGAACACTCGATTGTGCTCATGCAATACCTATATGTGGACCAGGAAGCATTCGTCAGAACAGAGCAAGGAAACACTGTATGGCTCAAAATTAGAAAAGAAGAATGCCAGGGAAGCATCTTGTTTCCATACTTTTTTAATCTGTATGTGGAACAGATCACTCAAGAGGCTGGACTTTGTGAGGAAGAATGTGGCTAGGCATTGTGAGGAGATTGATGGCACATAACAAAAACAATCACCTAAATGACATGAATTGCTTAAATTTAATCTCTCCTACATGATGAGATGTAATGGTCTCCTGAATACATCAGATCTAGCAGCCAATCAGGTTGAATGTAGTATCCTTGGAGGTAGGCCGAAGGGAGGACATAAGGATGCTCTAATTGTGGTCTATCCTGCCATGATTCCATCTGGATCCATCACCTCGCTAGATGCCAGTGGGCCTCTAGTTCTCGGACTTGAAACTACTCATACACCTGCACATTGTGCAATTCTTCAGTGAGTATCCTGACTTGAAGATCCTAGATCTTCTTTTACTGGGTGTTTGAATCTGAAGAAAAGAGGGTATTCAGAAAGGATTACGCCACTTTCTAAGATGGTAAGGAGACACTCAAGAGCTTGGTGTGTTACAGTCCCCTGCTTGAATTCAGTGTAGACTAATTACAATGACCTTCTCAATTTTCAATCAGCACCGGATCTGAGCAGAGTCTTCAACACGAGCAGCTCCTCTCTGAACAGCCTCTTTGACCTGGCCAACCAGAGGCTCCTGAAGTACAACGAGTGGGTCATATGGGCTCTGGAGTCCCA